TTCCCTTCTGCATTTCTCTCCCACTGGTTTTACTGTTCGTCAAATCAGCATGGAAACTAGATCGGACTTTAAGAACCCCCTCTGGCTTCTCCTGCCTACGTCCCCTGCCTGTCACCCGCGTGGGACATCCCATGTAGTTATTCACAAATGGTTTTAATGCTACACACAGGATTTTGACTTTGCATATGGAACAGGCTGCAGGGGTGGGTGAAATCATAACAGCCCATCTCCTCTGAACCAGCATTCACAGAAATATACAGGATCTGCTCCTACGCTGGGTTAGAAATCAGCCCTAAATCTTAACAGGATCTAAAATAGCTTAGAAGGACCCTCTCAGCACAAACACTGATAGACTCTGCTCACCATCGCTGGCCAAATACCATTTCAATCAGCCACGTAGATGCTAGTCAGTCATTTTTGTTTGGTTTTTTGGATCAGGGGTTTGGTTTAGATGCAGGTCGGCTTGTACGCGAGCGTGTATGCTAAATGCATTTCAACAGCTCAGAGATGTGTGAATCAAATTACAGCAAATCTCTGCGCGCTCTGCTCAGTAGGAAAGAAGGAGCAGGTGCTATTGGGCTTCAGGGCACTGAATAAAGCATCGGTCAGCAGAGAGAATCAGCAACTAAGAAAGTCACACAGCATGTAGACATCAGGCCTGGTGCAGTGGAATTTGTCATAGAAGGAAGGAACTTAGCTGGGGCATGCACACAAGTCTATGGGTGGGGAGCTTATAGAGGAAGAGAGAGTGTATTGTCCTGGAGTTGGAATGATCAGAGCATGTGGAATTGTTTACCTCGTTAGCAATGCAAATTGGGGGTTAGGGTGGGGGGAGAAATGGAATGCCCCCTACTGATCTAAAGAGGGAACTGACAGCACCCCAAGAGACAAGGTGGGTGAGGTGACATCTTTTATTGGACCAGCTTCTGTTGGTGAGAGAGACAAGCTACACAGAGCTCCCCTTCAGGTCTGGGGTGGATTTTTCACACCCCTGCGTGACGTAACTGGGTGAACCTCACTTTTTAGCATCGAGCTGGCCTAGTCTCCTCCGTTCCTGACGGGGGGAGCCAGCAGAGAGAGGATAAGCCCCTTGTATGTGGTCACACCCCTCTCGTCGGTAGCAGTAAGGAATAACTAAACCCTTGTGGGAATGGAGGTGCATTCCCAAATACTGTGCTGACCTCTAAGGGAGCCCTACAGTCAGCTCTGGCTGAAGTCACCGGAGAAGGCAGCAGTGTGTGGTCATCGAGCTTGTCCTCTTCTCAGAAAGTTCCCATTAGCTGTCTGCTCCTGGGGGGCCGGGACTGACACTGACAATGCAGCAGAGAGCCCCAGCCCTGGGTCAGCAGAGGTGGCTGCAGGGCTGCGTTGGCAAAGGGGTTTGCAATGCAAGGGCTGCTTGCACTGCGCAGGCACCCACCCATACCTGTGTCCAGCCGCTGCTATCGGCCTGGACATTCAAACTGATGCCGAATGGAAAGGAAAGATTCTTCCCGTGGCTGGGGGCGGGTGACAACAATGTGCAAACCGCCTTCCGCTAAGTCCAAGGAAACGTCAGCGCCCGGCCTTGGCTTCCCCACAGAGCAGCTGCCTGGATCAAGGACAGCATCTAAAGCGCCACACACGGGACTCAGCAAGGTACAAATAACCCTCTCACTAGGATGCTGACAGCTGCACCATCTGCTCTCTCAGATCCCTGATACCCTGCGCTCGTTTATGAGCCTAATTGGGATATTTATTTCCAGGCTGTTTATTTCAGGGAATGGATTTTTCCATCCTCCTTGGGATTTATGAGACTGTTAATGATTTTCCTTTGCACCCCAAGGTCTTCAGCTCTGCCTTGGGACGTGAACTTCCAACCACAAGTGGGAATTTCAGCCCCGCTCTGGGTTAATCGCCCGGGTCTTTGGTCCAAGCTGCTCTGCATTTCCTGCATTCTCTTGTCTCTTTGATAAGTGATGAAGGAGGGTGCAGGAAAGTAGCTATTATTTCATTGCATCCAAGCTCTCCCACAAACCAGAGCAGAGGTTAACTCCCCCAACCCTGCTCAAGTCATTGTTATTTGGTAACTAACTCCTGGTGGAAGACAGACTGCCCATCCATAGCTCTCAGCACATCACACATTCCAGGCAGAGATCTCAAAGCACTTTGCAAAGGTTGCATCACACTCTCCACCTCTCCCTGTGCTCTCGCCAGGACAGCTGGGACCTGGAACCCCTTGTTAGCCCCAGGAGTTGAACTCATGGGGCCAGGGTGCTGTCTGTGCACTTTCCCAGCTGGGATTACTTCCCCATTTCAGGGCCATCAAGACTTTTTAAGTGACACGTTGGTCTGATCGGTCCTGCTGCAGCAGGCAGTTCCAGCGGTAGCAGACGCATCCGTGTGTTTTTCCCCCGCACGTCTGGGTTTATTCTCTTAAACCTGGTGCCAAGGAGAGTCATGGCGCTGGCCTCAAATAAATCTGGAAGCAATAATGAAAAGAAATGGAGTCTCACAACACCCGCTTCAGGGGAGAGAACTCGACAGCGGTGAAAGTCGAGGCACAAGGAGGGTGAGTGATTCAGTGCCGGAGCCTGCATCCTCTACACCCACAAAAGCACCTTGCTGAAGTCAGCATGTCTGCTGCAGCGAGCAAGGACAAATCATGTGAGCACGCATGCAAGGCTGGGCCCTTTCCTTGTGTCACGCAGCTGGGAATCAACTGGCCCAGGAGTTTTGGTTCGTCTCAGTCCCCTGCACTAAGCACACCCAAAGGAAAGCAAGTCAGGATGGAAAGGAACAGCAGGCCTGATGGCTCTCCCCTGGATAAACAATATAAGCTCTTTTCAGAGGCCTTTTCTTTCCAGTCCCCGTTTGCTCAGATCAGGGAAAAGTCCTGTAGAAACACGACACTGTTTTCTGACCAAAGAGCCTAAACTAGTGAAACTAAAAACTCCAACGCAGAGAAGCAGAGAAAGTTGATGAGATTCGCTCTCCCTTCCATGGTTCATCTTTAAAAAACGATCCTGGAAAAACCTCACTCTCCTTCATTCATGTTTTTCCACCTTCACCCCACCACACTGCCTTGCTCCACGCCAGACTGGTGCTCACCTGCTGCACTCCGAACAGAGCCTGCTTGGGAAATCCAACCGGCGCTGGCTACAGGCTTATCGCCCATCCTCACAAGTGCCTCTTGCAGGGGAAACCTAGCTCCCTACTTGGGTGCGCCTCTCATTTGAGGCTCTCCCACCCCATCCTTCCCCTGTCTCTGGTGCATGTAGGTCTCACGGCTACCTTCCCTTTCTGCAGTGCTGCACATCTCCCTTAGCCCCCTCACCACCCTGCCCCCCAATAAAACCAACCCCCTCTGCTCTTCAGCAGCTTGCCAGGTGCTCTAGCCACTCAGCGATTGCTTGGAACAAATTCCTTCTTTGGGGGCAAAACCATTGTGCAGATTAAACCGTAGCTCAGAGGAACGCGGCTCGTTTCTTGCATGCTGGGCTTGCTGTGGGGGCGACAACCTTCTTGGAGAGAAAATTGGTTTCCCTGGGGGTTTTAAAAGCGGCTTGAATTTGAGGCAAAGGAGCGGGAGCTGCATTCCCCTCCCCCTCTCCTTGTGTTCTGGCCACATGGGGAGGGGGACAACCCTTTAGTTCCCTAGGTCCAGATCAACGCACCCTGCATCGATTCCCCCCCCCCCCCCCGGGGTGGT